ACTTTGCGGAGGTGGGCTTCCTGAGCCTCCTTTTCCACTGCCTTTGGAAGTTTTGCCGGGACTACCTTTCTTTGGACTTTTATCTTTTCCACTCTTCGGTGTGGGACTTTTCTTAGGACTATCTTTTGGACTTTTCTTGTCCGACTTTTTATCAGGACTCTTTTGTCCAGGACTTTTCTTCCCGGGACTTTTGCCCGGGCTGCCTTTTTGATCTTTTTTATCCGGACTTTTCTTGGTTTTCGGTGTGGAAGCATTCTGAGCGGCTAATTCCATTTCACGTTCTTCCTCACGAAGTTTGCGCGCTTCTTCTTCGCGTTTCTTGATCGTATTTACTTTCCATTCTTCACAGTCGGCGAATAGTTTCTCAAACACTGGACTCTCCGCCGCTAGCATACATTTATGCGCCTTAATACTGGATTGGGCGTGTTCCGGACCGACAAGGAATTCCACATCGGTTTTCAATTTGGTTTCTAACAGAAATCGCATCCGTTTATGCATTACCCCTTCAGGCACAGGAACCACCAGTTCCTCCTCTTCAATCGGCTGTTCCGGAGCATTTTTTTTGTCTGCTTCTGCCTTGGGACTTTTTTTTGATTTGTTCTTATCAGGGCTCCCTTTTTTGGAGCTTTTATCCGGACTAGCAGATTTCGGACTCGGCATGACTTAGGGATGCTTTTATAGCTTATAAATACCCTATGAAATAAGGATACATGACAGACATTCACTAATAAAATCCCAGTTTCACTAGATTGTTTGAATTTCTACTGTGGTCGATAAATGTGGCGATCGACTACCCAAATTTAGGGATCACGTGAGTATATTAACTAATTCAGCATGGGTGGGATGTTACTGATTGTATAACATGACAAAATAGGAAGAAGCTATTGCAGTTTCATAAATGCATTGTACCGCTGTAGTTTTTACAAATTGGGGTATTTGTACTAGTGGTGTAAACAGACAAAGATGAGTTCATTGAATAACCCACTGGACAGCATTTCAAAGTAAATCATTTTTAAATTTCTTTTGAGTGCTTCCATAATTAGCTTGTTATTTTTCACCACAGTACCTGTGACTGAAGTTATTTCTACCAGAATGAAGCTTCGGTGCATTTTAATATGCCATTTTAAAGCAGGTAGTTAATAAAACAAAGAGAAAATACAAATTTATTTGTCAATGAATTCTAATGGATGAAATCAATTCAAGTGTTAAAATTCATAGCATCCTGTTCAATGAGGCATCAGTGACATACATTGTTACCTGTGCGCCTCGTTTATTTATTTATTTTATTCAGTCATATAAATCGCCCGCATACTTTTCTTGGACCTTTTGTGAAGTTTGATACAAGACCAGCGACCCAATCAGGCTGCAAATAATTTTAGTAATTTTTCACGCCAAATGGCAATCACAGTCTGAGTCATTGAATAGTGTGGCTAAGAGAGAAACAAGTGGAAGCAATTCCAAGGCTTTCAAAATAATGTAGCCCGGAAACGTGGACACATTAAATATTCATGGCAGAGTCCACACAGGTGGGTGCAACGCCCAATGCTCCCCTATCCGCGTTTCAGTCTAGGGGAATAGTGGTGTCCTGCCAGATGGATAAGTTGAAGGAATATCGTGCCAATGGAGATAAAATGCACAACGCAGAAATTCAGCCGGTGGACAATGGTTACTTTGGTAAACACAACTAAAATAGTCGATTGTTTATTCATTTTAATCAGTTAACTTCTAGTTGCATTCACGATTTTACTCTACTGAACTTGGCACATAATATCACAATTTACGTATAGAGATTCTTTGAATGTTGACTTTAGCTTAAGACATTCCCACCGAAGACAACATTTTTCTGGGAGATCAGATTTATTTACCATGAATGCTGTTTCTGAAACTGAACCAAAACCTTTTCCCCCACGACTAACATTTTTTGTCTCTTATCGTAAAAGCGGTTTTACTCCCGTCTAAAAAGATAGGTTAAGGTTTAGTCAAACCGGTACCACAAACGCAAAATCGTCATATTTCATTATTGGCCAAAATTGAGTATTCTGAAACCGGGAGAAGCAATGCAGAAGGTGTATTCTTTTTGTACCACAGTTAGTTTACCGGCCGAAAATCAGGAAGAAATATCATTGTTTATAATGGCGCTGCTTAACTTATCTTTGATGAACTTGGTTGAACCAGATGAACACTTTGAGTAATTATATCATATTCTAAAAAATGGAAGTTTAAAATATTTTTAGCCTTTTAAATTGCGATGAAACATCGCTGATTACGTGATTTGAAAGTGTCATACGACTTTGATAAAGTTAAGAATTGGCGTCAGCAATGACTATGAAAATGAAATATTTTTAATGATGTTGTGGCTCTCTGATCAGCTACTTCCTGAGGTAGATAAAGAATTCAGTTTTGTTCTCATTATACCTCATTATCAAGACGCATGTATTGGCTCACCCGAGAACGAAAAACTTGCACGCCTATTGAAGCGGATTGTGTGATCACTATGCAAACCAACCAACATACGAAATAACCAGAGTAATTGGCTAAAGGTTGTTTAAGTTTCTTCTCTTAACGGATGGACCAGTGAGTATGGTCCATTGAAGAGAGCAAACCTCGAGTCAGATGCTTGCCCAATTTATGGTTCAGTGAATGAACTCAGGATTATGGTTCAGATGGAAGCCGTAACGATGATCAACCAAATTCAGTGAAACATAAACCATCTGTCGACAAGCCATTCAATTTGAATTTAAAAGGTTTGAATCGTAGACACTTTTAGCTACAGTACATACATTGAATGCAGCGCATTTGATTTAACTCAATTGGTATGGCTGTATGGGGCAGATAAATATTGGTTCATCGAATGAAGTAAAACTGTTTGGAGTTATTATCTACGCCTCCCTCTGTGCACCGCAGCGTGCACTAAGTTAGTATGAACACTTCACATTGTATATCAAATTTACTCATATAACGGTTAATTTCTCAGAACTTGTAAAGACTACATTTTATTTTGTGTAAGCGTAAACATTATTTTTGTTTGCTATAAACATTCTTCTTGACTGATTATCCCTCGGGGATATCCTTTAAATTTGATGTTGCATAGGTGTTGGTTACTTTGTTCCATTGCATGCACTTCTGTTAGTTTGAAGATTGTGGAAACATTTTTATTATAGATGTACTGTCCCAACTAAACTTATCTGATTCAACTTGCTTGGCTTTTCGTTGCTTTGAATCAACCGTTAATGCGCTTCCATTCCTCATTTACAGTGTTTGTTTTATCTTGGGGCCGTGACAGTGTATGGTTAATAATGTTTTCCTTTCACTACAGCGATAGTATCAAGTGTGTTGGCAGAACAACACTCCTTCTTACACTATCGGAGTGGGGTATTACGCCGCCTCCAAACAGACTATTACTTACTCACTTTACTCTTTGCCAGCAGTTAACTAAATGCACTTGGAGAAGCATGAATCCTATTTGATTTAATAGAAATGCATCCGGTCTTAGCTGGGTTATGAAAATGCTCTCAAACACTTTGGGACGTCATCAAATTCAATCTGATAACGTATTGACTTAAGCCTGAAATTAATTTTGAACTATCATTCGGGTTTCTTTTTAACCGAAGGCTAATACCAAGTAACTCGTGAAAACCGTTGTTCAGTCACGCGTTCGTCGTATAAAGAGCAAAAAAAACACGTGAGGTCCAATGATGCTCAGCTGTTCTGATCTGGTTGCGTTTAATTAGTAGTGAAACTCGCAATTGACCTCAAAGGGGTATTCAGTTTAGTACCTGTAACACTCCTCCAGAATAGGAATTTATCATTTTTGAACCGCTTCTAACCCAGTGACAATCCTTAGATGTGCAGCTCAGATAAACAAGGTTGGGTGATCACTGCCAGCTTTGAAAGTTTAGCTTTACAATTTAATGGTGGTAACCAGTAGTTACATCGACAACCCACGCTGCTTTAATTAGGGAAAACTGGTCCATTGCTCTGACATCAGAGTTCTTGAAGAAAGTTGAACTTTTCATAATTTAGCTGTTGGGTTGACTGACTGCATGGGTCACTGTAATGTGCCATTGTATAACATTATGCAAGATAACAGAGAATGCTGATCTACTCTTTTAGGCCGGTTTTATTCATAAACTACCTTCGATTTTCTTTGCCTGAAAATTGCGAACCATTCTTTTTTTGAGGAGGTTGTGGTGTTGCGGCAATTCCCTCTTTTCCGTAACATTTCATAGAATGTACCGCTTACTATCATTTGTTAGAAAATCGTTGTTTGTTTTAACTAATGTTTTTGTGAAACTAAATTTCTGAATTTTTGCTGGTGCTTAGGGAAACTCGCTCGCCTTGCATCCACTGGGCGTCTGCATCTGTGTATCCTAAAGCAACCACCAAATATTAGTATATAGTATGCATTTCTGTTTCAGGCATATAGTAGTTTACTCACCGTAGTCCAAGTCATTTTACATCGGCTACCTTCACGTATCCAGCATGGCTGAAACTTTGCTCGCTTGCTGAGTCTAATCTAATTTCCACAATGCGCATTCCGTTGGTAGTGGCCTAGCTTTGCTGAACGGTTATCATTTTTTTCAGTACAGCAAAATGGGAACAACATTATGCATCACTAAGCATGATGCTGCGAAGCCTGACACAAAAATCGATTCGGACTACCCTAAAAAGTCAAGTTTCGATTTGCAACAGGGCAGATCAAAAATTCACAAATTGGGAATCCAAATAGACAACCACAATTGTATTGGCTTTTCCGTCTGGGGTGAATTTCACTCCCCAACAAAGTGTAATACCGGAGAAAAAATAATTCCAACGATAAAGCATCAAACTTCGTCACATGCTTCCAACAATTGAGGGGAATAAATGAAGAACATGTTTGTCGAATTCTCTCAAGATAGCAAAGAATTTGCGGAAAAGAAGACGCCAAACAATGCTGACGCAACTTTTACCTCTGGGAGAGCACTGTATAAACCAATGTAGTTTGAGAGAATTTCATTCTTAATCCACCAAAATCCTTTTTAAAAGCACTGAGATTGGTGGCATTAGTTGGGGATAAGCATTCCGGATAACTTTGGTAACTGAGATTGGAGTGAAACAGATATCACTCGGATGCAAAAGCAGTGGTTTTAGTGTTCCCAGCTTTATATAGTCAGAACGTTCCTTTAAGCGCATGTTACTATACCAGCAACCGGTTTGAATTTCCCAATATTTGTGTCATTGACAAAAATTGAAATAATTGAGGCGCAGTCTTGAGTTATTTTGACAAAAATCAGAGTATTTACATTATTGATTTATTTTCACATAAATTTTTGACATCCTGATAGGCAAACGTTTTCGAATGATGACCGGAAGTGATCCAAATTGGACGTTGCTTCTTTCCTTCTTTTCTGGATTGTGAAGAAATAAAATCTGATCCTGTTTCTCTCCAATGATGAGCCAATTATGCTTGGTATTGTGCTATTCGGTTCAAAGTCTTCTGAAGTACCATCATAGCTTTTAAGCATTCTAAGAGCTTAGTGAATTGAAACTTATTCACTGTGCTATAGGTCTGGTTTGCGGGTTTAGTAGCAGATAGTGCTTGGTGGCGTGAAGCAAGTTTTATGATCGTAGCCATTTGCATTTGGTTATTTGATCTCTCACCAATTTATTACATCAGAATTTGCAGTTTTTCCGGAAACAACGTATGCAAATAAATTCCCCCAAAAGCAATCTGCCCTTCAAGTAGTTCACTCTTGATTCAATTAATTCAGTTTGGGTAGTCGATTCCAAGTATTAAAACGGACCTTTTAAAACAAAAACAAAATTAGCGGGTGTTGCGTACCAAATTCTGTTCACATAAAATCAGTTTCATTAGTTTATATTCATTAAGCATGCAAAAGCATTCTGTAATATTGGCTGATCAGATTCATTTAATGAGTACTAAATAGATAAATGAAGATGAAAATGCATAAAGTCTTCAACAAATCTCGAAGTAGATTTCAAAATGGACGTTAATAAAGCATAACTACATCTAAAAGTAAAACATTTAGAGACAACGTTTTTGATAGTTGTCACGACAACCAAAACGCTTCTTCCAACCACGCAATTAATACCTTGTTTCTGAGGTTTCGCAATTGCATTTCAAACAACGTTTAGATCGGTCCACATTGTGGTGGTGACGCACAAACTGCATTATACGGTGTTCCCACTCGGAAAAGTGAAGCCAAATGCTACCGAACGGTCTCCTGGTGGCGGTCAGGGAAGCAATCGCCACCTCACAGCTACACACATAGACTTGTGGTCAAAAAACTTTCATTCGATTATGATTCCCCCAAAAATAGCCATAAAGGCACAAGGAAGGTATCGATTTTCACTAGGTGAGTTTATTTATTTTGGCGGAAATCAGAAATGCACGATCATATCAAATCACTTCAGAGAAGTCTCATCAAACTGTGCTGTCATCGTTCCCATGGAACTAGATTTCAATGGTCACAAAAGCAAACCACTATTGTGACTATCAAATGGATTGCGGGCGAACATAAAGTTTTATAAATTTGTTTTCAACTTGGTGATGTAAGTCATAATGTAATGAAAAGATATTTTCTTGAAATTATACATATACGGTAATTTTGCGATACCGACACATAATGGGCGAGTGCGCTTGGTTCGATTTTATTTGATTTTCTCATGGTCAGCCACAGATGAACTGCGTATCAAGTGTCGACCAGTGTTATTTATGCGGATGATATAAAAAAAATTCAGCTGACAAAGTATTGAACATTGGTTCTCGTAGCTCGGGTGAACTGGCCACTACACAAGCACTGCTAATGTCACCTCGGCTGGTGATGAAACGTTTGCAAACAAACTGCCAAGCTCGGCGAATAGGTGAAATAGAAACTTAGCTACTTAAATCTGGTGTTAAAAAGCAGCTTTGCCAACGGTCTGATAGAAAAGTCCCTGGGATCGCGCAATACTATAAGACATATTATTATCCGCTAGATTTTCAGGAGTCATAGTTTATGCAACTAGTGAAAATGTGGATTATCTCGAGTTGACTGCTTGTAGGCCATACCGTGTGATCGACCAAAACCTATGAAGATAAATAAATTGACTAAAAGCCTAAATCAATCATTATAGGTTTGATCTAAGTGTGATTGCGACGGTGTGAGAATGAAATTATTGAAAACAATTTTGCCTAAACGTTGCCTTTTGGTCATGTAGTCCAGTGGGTAACACGGTAGTTTAGGGGAAAATTACTTTTCCAATGCACTATAAAGGTCCGTCGCAATATTGGACCGCTAATATTGCTGGCGTTACGCGTTTTAATCTGATAATTCTGCAATCCATTTTACTTCAGACAGGATTTGTGCAAAACAATAAGTAAAATCCGGTGTTTTTGAAAACTGTCAATTGCCTCGTCCAATGGATTGCATATAATAAATCACAACTCTCCCAAATCACATCATAAACAACCCAAATGTAGAACTGACAATTCCAAACTACTTTTGACCCAATTTCTTTTTATGACTTGTCCGGAATTTACCAACGTCCAAGCGCGTGCGACCTAAGGCAACTGGCCCATGCAAATTGTGTTCGAGGAATACAACATTCAATTAACCATAAATCACAGTGCTGAGATCCTGTCACCAAAATCTGCAAATCTATCGAGCTGTAAATCTCAGTAGTCGTGGGCTAAACACGTATCCTATGAATACCACGGTTCATTACCGAGAATAATCATGTGAGAAAATTTGCATGCACATATCTATATTGTATACATTCCAGGGAAAAGAAAACAGAAGAACCCAACAGGATGGTGAACATAACTTCAGTGTGTCACAACCGTATTTCCATAAAGTTCTCAGAACTGCCCAGACACGTTTCAATCGTCGAGGTAGGCATACTCCGACCTTCCGGCGTTGAACTGGTCCACCACCTCCACCAATCAGCGGATACAGTGTTGGGGATAAGTTGAATCATTGGCAGACGATAGACTGTGCATAACAGTGTCACGTTTGCTCGTACAAGTTCGAATCGCAATCCGTGATGTATTAGGGAATTGATAGATAATTGACATTCAGCTCGTCTCGTATCAAACTGATTTAAGAAGGAAACTGGATTTGGACGAATGCGTAGCTTCCATGTTTGGAATACGGCTTTTTTCGTTTTATTGGACTGTGTGTTGTTTATCGAACGGTTCTCCGCTTCATGACAGTTAGCAGTTGCATCAATCTGCTGGCTGCGAGCAAAGAATGACCAACAGCCGACCGATGGCTGCGTCGGATCCGATCCATGGCCGGATGAGCGATATTCTAATTGAGGATCTCGGATCAGTTGAGGATGAGGCTGAAAAAATGGGGCCAGAAATGCCTCAGCCGTCATGTGACAAACCAAATGCAGTGCCAATCGATCCCGAATGTTGTACTCGTTGTACTTTCCTTGTTGACCGGTGAATCGCAGATACTTGAACAGCGGGCTTCCAATATGCTCAAACACAAGGTTGGAGGCCTCGCGAATTCGGTCCAGACGATCGGAATTAACACCTTCGAATAAATGACACATATAAGAGAATGAGAGAATATATTGGAATTCACATTATATTGGAATTTACAACAGATTAGTCGAAGTTATTTGTCATGGTATTTCTTGATTATATATATATGTATATATATATATATATATATATATATATATATGTCACACTGGTCCTATAACGTGCTGATCCGAGGCCACACCTTTGGAACCACTGCGCAACGACACACCATCAGCTCAGAATCAAGGTAACTAAAGAAATGG